TTTTAAGTCTAAATAACTAATTATTAATAGAGAGATGGCCCACACTAAGATGCAGCGCATCAGTACAATAATTTCACTTTTTGTCTAACCAACTAACATGATTCAAGAAAAACATATAGCCAATATTCACATATTATGTGTATTATAATGAGCATCAGGGAGCAAGTTGCCAAGCAAGCCATCACAAGTCAGCAAGCAAGTCCCTAAGCATCTCACATCTCTTTTTTTTTCCTTTTATTCTTTCTTCTTCTTTTCTTCTTCATTTCCTCTTTCTTTTTTTTCTTTTTTCTTTTTTTATTTTTTTTTTTGAGGAGGGGTAGGGTGGGACTACAACATGATAGAGCCAAAACAAATTCGGGCAGTGAATAAAAAGGCACTAACAGTCTTTGTTCCACAACCTTAAACTTAAATACTGTATCATTCCTATTTCTACTTTTAGGCTAATTCAGGGGGTGATCCTCGCAATAATAACCTTTGCATAACTATCATTATGTGGCAGGTCATTTTCAAAATACACTATTTTTTTAATTCTGAACACTGGTCAAACATATGAAAATCAACTTAATTGAATGTTAATAAATATCGACCTAAAAAAAATCAAAATTCGTTTATATAAAAAAAAATTCGACCCAATTTCAGATATATTAAAAAAATTCAACCTAAAAAAATTAAAATTAAAAAATCAGCTAGTCAAATTTATTTACTAAAAAAAATTTAAACAAATATCGATATAGCCCTTAACAAACTAGAATATGCACAATTTATTGGGGAATTGATAGCCAAATTATGAATAATAATAGACAAATAAAACAATCGACAGTCAAATGATGAATGACAATCGCAGTCAAATTTATTTACTAAAAAAAAATTCGAACAAATATTGATATAGCCCTTAATATGCACAATTCATTGGGGAATTGACAATAATAATCAACGAATGAAATAATCGACAGTCAAATTATGAATGACAATCGCAGTCAAATTATGAATGACAATCCAGTCAAATTATGAATAACAATCGCAGTCAAATTATGAATGATAATCAACTGTCAAATTGTTCAGATCACTCTTTTCGAACATATTAATACTGATCTTGAATTTTTATAATTCAAAGATTTATTTAAAGTTGACTTCTGTAATATGACAAATAGGTACTCATTGTGCAAAGTACTTATATATATATATGCATAACCAATATTCATTTCGTCTTTATTAACTACCATTTTTTTTTAGATTAGCTTTGATTGATATCGTGGTGACATTATGCAATAGAAATTTAGATTAACCATAAATTACCATACAGGTTTCTCCTTGGTTTATACCCCACTTGATTTATACCGGGTATGTTTCAAGATTATTTGTTGTGGTGGTTTGTAAGAGATCCGAGTATAAATCAACCATTTTTATATTGAGCCAAAATACTTTTCTTACAAGATACTCCCACATAATATACCCTCTGCTATCCAATATACCCGGGGTATAAATCAAGGTTTGTTGTTTCGTGGAAGGGAACATTGTATGGTAATTTACGGTAAGTAAAAGACAAGGTATTAATAATAAGTATTGGATTTTCTTACGCTTTGTATTTTTTTTTTTTTTACATTTATTATTTTTTTTTGAAATGTTAGTTCTAATAGAATACAAATGGTGCTTGGAATTAAAAATTTAGACCAGAAGCTTGGTACAAATAGTAAGTGCCATTTTCATTTCTTATTTTGCACTAGTTTTTTTTCTTAAAATAGGACTGACTAGCTTTTTTTTTATAAATTTTCTGCTAGAATACGAACCAAAAACTTGTTGAAGGAAGATTAGGGAGAAAGTTCTATTTCCTTTATGTGCTTAATATTTTTTCTTTGTCGAAGAGGGCTAATACTTCTCTTTTACCAGTCTTTTTTTTAGTAGAAATAGAAATCTGGATCGCGAATGATAAGTATCAGATTTCATGTTGTGTTTTATTTTTTTTTCAAATAGAAGCTAATTTTTTTTTGTATTAAAAGAAAGCAGGCTAAAAACTTAATAGTGGATTCAAATTGGATGATTTTGTTCTCGTATTAGATTCATTTTTTTAAAGTAGAAGCTTTATCTTTTTCTAGATTCTTATTTTGATAGAGATGCAAAGCATGATTTATAGGATATTTTAATTGATGGTTAGGTTTGTTATAAGGCAATATAATTTCAAAATATAGTAGTGACTTGTAGTTTTAGTCGCAGGCAGTTTTAACATAGTGGGCATATTTTGTATTAAAGAAATAAAAATATTAAATACAAAACAATTATTACTATGCAATAACTTTGATAATATTTAATAATTTATTAATTTAAAAAAAAATTGTATCAAAATTATATTATTTGTCTATGATATGCCCTTCATACCGAACAAAATATCAATCACAATATAATTACTATATAACAACCTCATTACTCAGCACTTTTAATTCTTACTTGTGTTCATGTCTACGAAAGTCAGAATTAATAACATTAAATTTATCACCGTATCTTCACCAATAATCACTTTATAGACGCCTTTCACAGACAATTAATTCACTGATATTGACGAAAATTAAAATTTTTGACATGTTTGAATTATATAATTCAAATGCCACTCAACTTGCCATTCTATTCAGCACTATCACATATCTGTAAAGTTAAGTGATATTTTAAATGACAGGTCGAATGGTATTCGAATTATGCCATTCAAACATGTCAAAATTTTCAATTTAACTGGTGCAACGAGTTTATTTTATAGACTATTAATTCACAGATAAGTTCATCTCACCACCAGCTTATTTAATAGACGGCTTCACCAACTGCTCAAGTTTTTTTTATAACTTTTGCTAAAATATAATTCCAGACCTAACCCTCACAATAATGACTATAGTTACCTTGTTGTTGAAATTGGAAATGTCTGAAATATTTGTCTGTGAATTAATCATCAGTAAACTAAATATATCGATGAATTAACTGTCTGTAAAATAAGATGCCTATGAACTGATTGTCTACGAAAAGAACAGAACTGAATAAGAAATTAAATAATAGAGAGGACTAATGAATGAACTCTTGAAACTATAAATAATACATACATTATTTAATCCTGACATTATGATAAATTAAATATATCTGTAAAATTTAGTCTTCACTTACTAGCACCAGTTCCATCATGTTTCATCACTTTCACAAGTTTTGCTACAACAATTAAAACTAGAATTTCAACCTTGTTAATGTAAAATTTTAGGTTTCACCTAACAACTATAATACTAACACGTGCAATATAATTGCTTGAAATTAGTGTTCCTACAAACCGGATTCGGATCAAACTTTAATTAAGTTTGAGTTCGGTTTGATTTTCAAGTCAGACTCAAACTCAAACTATTTCTTAGCTTAGGTCCGGTCTGGGTTTGATTTCGAAATTTTTCCTCCAGTCTGGTTCGGTTTGAAGTTTGGTCTGAAGTTTGCAAACATTTTTGAGTCCAATAGACAATAGCTTATTTTACAGGCACCTTATAAACTATTAGGATTATTTTACAAATGATTAATTCACAGAAGGTATTCCGAATATTAGTATACTATAACTGACCAGATCCTAATCTGCTTTTATCAGACCGTATCATACTGATCTTTGTAACACCTTAAATTATCATAATGTATTTAAAAATAGTACTATACTAGTTTGTTACTATATAAAATATTTATATTAGCAGATCTGTATTGTATGACTATAATTTTACCGTCTCTATCTCCATACCATACTGATATAGTAGTCAAGGTTAAAGATATCTTCGCTCGAAGGTTTAAAAAGTTGAAAATGTTTATTAAAACAAAAGCTGCGCTGAAACTTTTTTCAAACTTTTAACAGCAATATCTCAGCAACCACGAAGATAAATATAATAACCTTTTTTTATTTTAATTCTACGAATTCATAGAATTCAAATAAAAAAATTTATTGAATTAGAGTTTGTCGTTACTGAAATATCTTTGGTCAAAGTTTGAAGAAAATTTTGGCGCATCTTTTGTTTTGATAGACGTTTTGACCTTTGCTTAAATCTTTGAGCAAAGATATCTCAGTAACCACAAGGTCAAATTCAATGAACTTTTTTTATTTGAATTCTATGCATTTATAGAATTAAAACAAAAAAAAGTTCATCGAATTGACCTGGTAGTTGCAAAGATATCTTCGCTCAAAGTTTGGAAAAAATTTTGATATAGCTTTTGTTTTGACAGATATTTTGAACTTTTAAACTTTGAGCAAAGATATCTTAGCAATCACAAGGTCAAATACGATGTACTTTTTTTTTATTTGAATTCTATGAATTCATAGAATTCAAATAAAAAAAAACTTCATTGAATTACCTGGTAGTTGCTATAATATCTTCGCTCAAAGTTAAAAAAAAATTTTAATATTGCTATTTTTGAAAATTTTTTTAACTTTGAGTGAAGATATCTTAGCAACTACCAAGTCAAATTTGATGAACTTTTTTTTGTTCGATTTCTATGAATTCATATAATTTAAATAAAAAAAAAAATAATTGAATTTAACTTGGTGGTCACTGTGATACCTTCTTTTAAAGCTAAATTTTTGCAGGGGTATAAATAATAAATTTGGGAGCATAAAAAAATAATTCCCATATAAATATTTAAAAAAAAGCAAAATGAATAATAGTAGTATTAACATATAGCCAGTAATGTTATATATAGAAATTTTAAAGATAATACCATATGATATTATCATAAAGGTTCTCAATATGATACAATACTGATATTATGGATGCCGCCTTTTTACTTTGGGTCTACTAGACCTTAACATCAAACAATTCTAATACAACTCCAAATTTATTTATATATTATTACAAAGAGCATGTTGTTATATTTATGAAGTAAGCAAATTTATTTTTTATGCAAATAAGTGACATATTTGATTTCCAAATGCATTACATCGACCTATTGTTATTAACATTAGGTACTGGAGATCATTTTCTTTTACTATGAGTATTAGGTACTGGAGATCATTCCCTTTCCCTATTAGAAGAATTATGATGGTTTAACATGTCGGTTACTTCTTTGTATGAAGGAGGTGGAGTATGATTTATACAACTCTCACGTCTTCTTTGAATTTCTAAATTTGTGTTCCTGATTTGATCAAACTGTGTAACTAAAAAAAAAATAATAATTAATAATAATTGAGTTTAGAGATATAATCAATTCTATATAACTTCAGATTTCAAAAACTTACCAGGTTTTTTCCAAAATTTAGTATGAAACTGATCAAAGTAATGCTCACCAGCTTTACTTCTTTTTTTATTATGGTTTCCTGACATATAATTGCATACCGCCTAACAAAAAAAAATTTTATTTTTTTGGTATTAAGGTAAGAAAAAAAAGATTTTAGTTTTATATATATTACAGTAATAATATAGAAAAAAACTGATTTATATATTTACATTATAGTCGCTTACAAGGTTCATAAATTTGTCTTTATACTGATATCTGTTGAATTTTGTATTATGTTGTTCATTTATACTATTCGCAACACTTTCCCAAAAATCTATGCGGCTTTGAGAAGTTATATTGTAGTACTCAGTATTTCTTGTTTTTCTTTTATCAATTAATGTTTGAATTTGTTTGTCAGTCCATTTAACCATTTTTTTGAAATAAGTTGATAAACAAAAAAAATAAAAAGAATTTACATTAATATTTGAACTTTATATCAATGTATAAAATGAATACAACAAATAATTATGCTACCTAATTTTTCTTACATAACTTCTTTTTATATGAGTATTGTCAAGGAAAAACCTGTCATTATATTTATATCAGACAAAAATCCCTAATCAATTCATTAGATTATATCCGGTATAAAATATAATTGAAAGCCCAATGGCAGGCTTTCCTTTGATGGCACTCATATTAGAGATGTGCAAGTAATCTTGTAAGTAACAATGACCTATGACTTATTACTTACTTAATATTAAGTAATATTAAATAATTATTACATTCAATTATCTATTACGTGTACATATAAACCATATGATAGAAGTCAGAGACAGGTGATCAAAATTGAAATTGAACGAAAAGGTATTACTAATAATAAAATTTATTATAAAATTACTTAATAATACCTATTGCAATATTAAATATTATTAAGTAATAATATGTAACTGACTTTGCCCAGGGGGTACTCCCTTAATACAAACAATAACCACATTTTTTCACTATAACCCAGAACCGGAATGATAACCACAACATCCACGGTACATTGGGAGAGTTGGATACAATAACCACGGAAGTCCTCAATACGTCAAGAATCAACTGGATAGGGTGACGTTACACTTTATGCTTGTCATGTGTGCAAGAAATACAACGAACAACGATCATACCACTTATGCCACTTAAGTAGTAAATCAAGGTGTTAGTATATTTATTAGGGTAAGTATGTACTTATTAGAGGATGTATTTATTGGTATTACGATGGCTCCCTTTTCATTTGGGCTTGAAGCCTTTATTATATACTTTCTAGTACATATGCGTTACTAAAAGTATTATCTGTACATTATCTCCTTTTCTGATTAAAACCCTTAATTCCTTTAAAAGCCGTTACTGACTATTGTTCTTTCTTATTACCTCTATAACCCTTATAGCTACTATAAACCCGATAATACTTTTAAGACTTATAACCCTGAGAAACCCATTTTAGGCATATAATCAACATAACCATTAATTCGTTACTGTGCTACATCAATCACCACCCTCCACATGCTTCCGAGATCACATTTTTCACGGCTGACAGTATCTTGCGTAATTTGAATTATCTGGTTGGAAGTGGTCAGTGATCACGAGACTGTGACATTTTTCTAATTTCTAATAAAGGTTTCTCTTCAAAGTTGATTAGTTGTTTAACGTCAAAATTTTGGGCTTGGGCAAGGGGGGAGGAAAAATTTAAACAAACATATAATTTAAACAAATTTATATGTTACAGATTATTATTTGATTAGATAGCTACCTTATCTTATGATGTTTTTGCCTGCTTCATAGGTAGAATGATAAAAATAATAATTTAAGCTATAGTTAAATATCTGGTTAAATCATTAAACGTCACAAATAATGTTGAAATCGAAGTTTGAATCTATTTTACAGTGCTTTTCAAATTACTATGATCAGTAAATTCATGCGCCACACACTATATTCTGAAATTTTATTGATCACAATAATTCGAAAAGCACTGCAATATACGATAATTTGAAGATTATTTTTGAACTTTATTATAGGTGGCTAATATTCATACCCCAATTTTGTTATATGTACCCCTGTAGATTAAATTTTTTTCAACTTGAGTGATGATATCTCGACAACTACCAAGCCAATTTGATGAATTTTTTTATTTGAATTCTACAGCTTTGTAGAATTGAAATAAAAAAAAATCCATCGATTTTGGCTTGGTGGTTGTCGAGATATCTTCACTCAAAGTTGAAGAAAAATTTGGCGCAGCTTTTATTTTGAAAGATATTTTGAGTTTTTTAAAACTTTGAGTAGTGATATCTCAACAACCACCAAGTCAAATTCGATGAATTTTTTTTTAATTGAATTTCGCAGCTTTGTAGAATTCGAAAAAAACATCAAATTTGGCTTGATGGTTGTCAAGATATCATCACTCAAAGTTTTAAAAACTCAAAACATCTATCAAAATAAAGCTGCGCTAAAATTTTTCTTCAACTTTGAGTGAAGATATTTCGACAACCACCAAGTCAAATTTGATGAAATTTTTTTATTTGAATTCTACAGCTTTGTAGAATTAAAATAAAATATATATAAAACACAATTTATTTGACAGTTCACATGATTATTGGATATCCTGTATTATAATTGACTTGTTTAATTTCGGGGGGAACAGCTAACCTGGAGGGGGTTACGTTAAACAACTAATTAACTTTGAACGGCCTAACTATATAAGCAAATTTAGTAAAATTTTTCTTTATTTTAATTTTACAAAGTATAAAATTAAAAAAAAAAAAAATTACTAAATTTGCTTATGTAGCTATTGAGAAACCTTCGCTAGAAGTTTTAAAAATTTTTTAATCTATCTAGTAGAATACATTTGAATGTTATTGATCAGGTGCTCTGGGGTAGTTCATTTTTCTGCCACTATTAACTGGAACACCTGATAAAAATTAGCTGAATGATTTTTCAGCCGATTCGAAATTTCGGTAAACTGTTTACAAATCATTGTAGCAATAATGTCAACACTATTAAACTTTCATTCAAATGCTTATTCAACATATTTTGAAAGTGCTTTAACAGTACCTTAACAGTACTTCAACAGTACTTCAACAGTACTTCAACAGTAGCATAGCAATTTTATACAGATTTATTATAAAAAAGCCAACAGTACTTTAACAGTACTTCAACAGTACTTTAACTGTAGCATAGCAATTTTATGTAGATTTATTATAAAAAAAACCAACAGTACTTTAACAGTGGTTTATCTAAAACTTTGTGAAGTTCTTATATTTGCATAAATTCTGAAATGACAATAAATTTTTTGTGAATTATAAAAATTTAATAAATGCAATTGATAACGATAGTGAATAGTTTACGAATCTTATAAACATATACTGAAAAAAATTGTCTGAACAAATTATTAATAATTGAAATGTTGTGTGAATTTAAAGCATTTACAAATTATCAAAATTCACTGAACACAACACATACAGTATTTTTATATGCATTTAGGGAACTACTACTCTTATTTTTCATAGTTAAGAACTCAAAGGGAGTTATCCTTTATTTTTCATTAAAATAATAGTGTTTAAATACATTTTACATTGTACTAATTAACTACAAACTTTTTTGCTATTACGACCATATCTGCTATTTCTAATATTTCTACTATATCATCTGCAGATATGATATTATAGCAGGTTTGGCAGACTCCAACTGATTTGGCTAGATCGACCAAACCACTTCGATTTTTGACCTTACGAAATTTCCCTCTCACAACATAAATATCAAGTAAATTTTATACGTATGTATGTATGTAAATGTACGTAAATGTATTTATTTATTGCATATTTAAAATATACATGTAAAATTATCGTTATATGTAAAACTTTCTATTAATTAGTATAATAACAAGATATTGTTTAGAATTTTTTCATTGTGCTGCTTTATAAAATGTTGGTACAAATCAGTTTAAAATTTGATGAATAGAAATTATACAATCATGACTAACACGATAAAAATTTTTTTCCCATAGCTCA